CCCTGCGCCTCCTGCTCCTCCCGCCTCTCCTGCTGCCCCTGCTTTTCCTCCTCCCCTCCTGTTCCTATCTTCCTGCTGCTGCTGCTCCTGCTGCTCCTGCTGCTGCTACTGCTGCTCTTTCGCTGCAGTCAATCCCACGGCACAGCATGCCAGCCTCAAGGCTCGGGTGTTCTCACGACTAGGAAAACTGAAACACGACAAGAGAAAACTGAAACACGACAAGGCACGGCTTATTCACGACAAGCAACAAGCAACTTCGCCACCCACTTTCGCCGCCCACTTTCGCCGCCCACTTTCGCCACCCACTTTCGCCGCCCACTTTCGCCACCCACTTTCGCCGCCCACTTTCGCCACCCACTTTCGCCACCCACTTTCGCCACCCACTTTCGCCGCCCACTTTCGCCGCCCACTTTCGCCGCCCACTTTCGCCACCCACTTTCGCCGCCCACGTTCGCCACCCACTTTCGCCGCCCACTTTCGCCACCCACTTTCGCCGCCCACTTTCGCCGCCCACTTTCGCCGCCCACTTTCGCCGCCCACTTTCGCCGCCCACTTTCGCCACCCACTTTCGCCGCCCACTTTCGCTGCCGACTTTCGCCGCCCACTTTCGCCACCCACTTTCGCCGCCCACTTTCGCCGCCCACTTTCGCCGCCCACTTTCGCCGCCCACTTTCGCCGCCCACTTTCGCCACCCACTTTCGCCGCCAGCTTTCGCCGCCCACTTTCGCCGCCCACTTTCGCCGCCCACTTTCGCCGCCCACTTTCGCCGCCCACTTATCGCCGCCGGCGAAAGTCGCGCGGCCGACGGGCGAGAGGCTAGTCGCGCGGCCGACGGACGAGAGGCTCGCCGCCGTAAGGAAGGGTCTCCGATGTCCCTTGAGGCAGCGCAAGGTTGCGGGGTGGCAGCCCGAGATGGTTTTGGGCCACATGGCCTTCGTGGCCCTCGTTCGGGGAGAAATCGTGTCAGTTTTTAACGCTGTCTACGCCTCAGCTCAGAGCTATCATGCGTTTGCAGTGCCGTGGCCCACCGTCAGGGAGGGGCTCCTGTGCTACCTCGGGCTCATGGTGCTGCTGGAGTCTCGGTGGGGTCGACCCTGGGTGCTCGTGGCGCGCTCCTCCGACGCCAGCCTCCACGGGCACGGCGTCGCCGAGGCCATCTTCGACCCCGCTGCCGTCGCCGAGATCGGGCGGGTCTCGGAGCTGGGCCGCCGACGCCTGTGTGATGGGCTGGTTCGGCGGCGCGCCTTCGAGAGCGCCAGTTTCCTGCTGGGCGCCGAGACGGGCCGGGTGGTGCCACCGTGGTGCCGACGGTGCGCCGCGACGGCCCGACCCAGAGGCCCCATGAGATTTTGGACAGTGATCGCTGGGGGTGCGACCCCAACTCTCCGGAGGTGCCGAGCGCCCTGCTTCTTGACTCGCACTGGGTGACAGCGATGGCGGATCGATGGGTCTTCTCAGGCGATGCCCTGAGACTCGAGGCCAGAGCGCTCGTGAAGGCTGCCTCTCGCGCTGCCCTCTCTCAGCCAGTTGGAGACCGCCGCGTCCTCTTGCTAGGGGGCAACCTGGCGGTGGTGTTCTGCTTTTGCCGCCTCAGGTCCATTGTTTTTCGGCTGCTAATTCAGATTCGTCGCGTTGCCGCTGTGTGCTCAGCAAGAAATATCAAGTTCGTCACACATTGAATCCTGAGTGAGTTCAATTCTGGTGATGAGGGAAGCCGCAGATTCGATTCTGTATATAGCAGCAGCAAGACCTTGGTAGCACATTTTGGCTCAAACCAGCTTTCCCATCATCGCTTATCCCAGCGGGCTTCGGTTTCCGACCGCGGGGGGCCGCTTGGCCAGGCCCCTCTTTGCAGTGATGGGGGAGAGCCCGGGGGCATTGTCGGCGGGCCGCCGGCGGCCCTCGCCCCGCGCTGGGCCGCGGCCCCGGCGGCCCGCTGCGACGGTGGCTCGCAGGGACCGGGCGCTGAGCCCTGGCGGGAGCTCGAGTGCTGCAGCCGATGCCCCTCCATCTCGCAGGGCGAGGGCGCTGGGCGCGGGCCGCGGCGTGAACGCCGGGCTCGGGGCGACCCGGCCGCCCTTGGCGAGGATGGTGGGGGAGTGCCCGCCGCCCGCCGTCGACGCCCGCGGGGGCATGCGGGGGCGCGGCGGGCAGCCCGAGCTGCGAGACGAGCGACGTGCGCGATCCGCGCGTCGCGACCGATAGCAGGCTGCGCCTGGAGCAGCGCGGCGAGGCGCGGGTCCGAAGGGCCATGGCCGCCATGGGCAGAGATGTTCGGAGGCGCGGGAAGTCGTCCAGGTTCTGCTATTTGAGAAGCGCTCGGTGGGTGCCAGATCGTTGGGGACCTATAGCCAGTGCGCCCTCGCCGTCTGCAGCTGGCTCGGCTGCTCGCTGACGGCCGTGCCAGGGTCGGGCATGCTCGACGCGAAGCTGGTGGATTACATGACCGAGCTGTTCTTCAAGGGCGACAAGGCGTGGAAGGGCGAGAAGCTCGTCGCCGGCATCGTGTCCTTCCACCCAGACTAGGGCCGCGAGAGGGGCTCTACCTTCCCAGCTCGCTCCGCTGCTTGAAAGGGTGGAAGAAGCTGTCGCCGTGTCGGCAGCGCAGGCCAGTGGTGCTTGCGATCTGGGGTGCGATAGCGGTGGAGCGGTGCCGCTTGGGCGCGCCGCTGGTCGGGGCGCTCGTTCTCGTGATGGTCGAGCGCCTCCTCAGGCCGGGGGAGATGTTGGGTCTCGCCAGTGCCTCCAACATGGCGCCGTGCGACAACGCCGTGCAGAGCTGGGTCGCCCTGCTGTTCCCCGAGAGGGTGGCCGCGAGGAGCAAGGTGGGTTCGTCGGACGATGCGATCCACACCGACTCGGGTCGCCATCCGTGGATGTGCTACCTCTACCTAGCTCTCAGGGATCGGAAGTCGTCTGGGCCCGTCCTGGGCTTGAGCTACCCGCAGTTCCTGAAGATGTTCCGCTGGGCCTTTCCATTTTGCGTGCGTGCTAATTTGTGACCTCGTGTCCCGGCGTCATTCGGACGCGCGTGCGGATTGCCTCTGCCGCGCTGCGACGGCAAACATGAGTGCGTGTGTGTGTGTGGGTGTATCTGTCTGTCTGTCTGTCTGTCTGTCTGTCTGTCTGTCTGTCTGTCTGTCTGTCTGTCTGTCTGTCTGTCTGTCTGCCTGTGTGTGTGTGTGTGTGTGTTTGCGTGTGTGTGTGTGTGTGTGTGTGTGTGTGTCTGTGTGTGTGTGTGTGTCTGTGTGTGTGTGTGTGTGTCTGTGTGTGTGTGTGTCTGTGTGTGTTGTGTGTGTGTGTGTGCGTCGTCCCAGAAACGTTTCCCTCTCGCGAACTTCGTCTCTAGTGGAGGGAGGCAATGTGGTAGCGCCCCGTGGCATTTTGCCACCCCGGCCGCGTTTCGCCGTTGGCAACCGCCTGGCGTTTTGGTCGGTCGCTGGACACCTTGCTTCCCCAGCGTGTCCGCGCTGCGTCCTCCGCGTGGGACGTCCCTTCGGGCGGCGGCCAGTGCGCCTTTTTTTTCTTCCCGCCATCCGCGTCCGGATGGCTTTGTGTTGCCCCCGTCTGGGCCGGCGCAAGCGTGCACCAACCTAGGGTTCGGCCGCCGTGCTGGACTTGTTTCGCTTCGTTTCTCATGGAGGACATCTCCCCAGGTGTGGGGGGCTTCCAGATCGCCCACTTCTTGCTCACGCGACGGGGCCCAATGATGGCTCTCGCGGCAGCTTCTTTGATTTTCACGGCAAGCATTTGACTAACGCAAATGCCAAGGCTGGAACCGACGCTTTAGCCGCGCCCTTGTGGAAAGCCAGGACCCGGCGGGAACCCTGAGACGAGGCGCAGACTTTTCCCACGACGATCGACGGAAGGACATCTCGGCTGCGTGCCGAGGGGGGATGTGAGAGGGGCCAGGCATGCTCGGCAGGCGTCGGGGCTTCGCAGAAGCCCGCGCCGGCCTTCTGAGAAGCCCTCCGTAGCTTCGGAAGAAGCTCACGTCGGGGATTTACTGACCCCGGTTGATGCAAACCCAGGTGAGCCTTATGTTGTCCCATCGTACTTACAGACCGCACCCCAGAAATGATTTCGAGCACCCAGACATCATTTCGGAGCTCGATTTGGGTTGCTCCACGGGGCGGCCTGCGGAGACGCTCCCACGATCCGCGGGCGTTCGGGGCCTGCGGGCGGTGCTCAGGGCCCCAGCCCTGCCCAGGTGCCGGGCGCCTGGAGGCGTCCAGGCCGCTGCGGGCAAGCCGTCCCCAGCCAGGCCAGCGCGAGCTCCAGCGGTCCAGCGCCAGGCCTGCGAAAGGAGATCACAGGAGCATCTGGGGTGCATGTGTGGTGGGGCGGCAAGTGCAGGGGGGGTGGGCTGAGTTGTGCTCCGCCCCTGCGCCTCGAAAGCAGGCCGTGGGCCACCGTTTCGCCATGGGAGGAGAACGCACAAGTGCGGAAGGTGGGGGGGTTTTCAGCCCCGACAGGGGCTGCAAGCCAGTCGAGGCCTGCATCGCAGTCCCTGCGTTTCCCACGGGCCGTCCAACTGGATGGAGAGGCTTCGCCTCGGGGCCCATCAGCATCACGCTGCCATGCTCGAGCGGTCTCATCGTGCCCTTGAACCCAGTCGGAATGAGTTTTTGGGCAGAGCTTCAGCCTGAGCTTTGCGCGGACGTGTGGCACCTGCTTTCTTGGTGTGCCCCACATCGATGGATGGTTATGCGAGGCATCATGTTGCCATCAGTAGCTCGAGCGCCATTAACATGCTGGCGCTCCTCCCCCTGCTCGTTCTGCTCGTGTAGCCCCCGGGCTGCTGCTACTAATCTTCCCTCCTTCAGTTCCTCCAGCTCTCTCCTCCTCCTCCTCCTCCTCCTCCTCCTCCTCCTCCTCCTCCTCCTCCTCCTCCTCCTCCCCTTCCTGGCTTCTTTTCCCCCGTCCTCCTCGCCCCCCTCCTCTTCCTCCTTCTCCTTCCCTCCCATCTTTTTCCTCTCACTGTTCCCTCTTGCCTCAAGGGGGACGACTGGGTCCTTGGCAAGAAGCTGCGGGACGGCACCGATGCTCCAAGCGGCTGGCTTCCACGCCGGTGCGTAGATCTGGATGGTGCGGCCAAGTACCAGGCACTGCGCCCCCCCGTCCCTCCATTCTTCTTCTTCTTCTGCTTCTTCTTCTTCTTCTTTGTTTTCTCCCCCCCCTCCTCCGCCTCCTCCTCCTCCTTCCTCTCCTCTGTTTCCCGCTCCTCGTGTTCTCTTCCCTCCACCTCCTTCGCCCCTTCCTTCTTCCCCCTCATGCTCCTCTCCGCCTCCCGCTGCCCCAGTACGGACGCTCCTCTTCCCGCTTCTACCGCTCCTCCTCCTCCTCCTCCTCCTCTTCCTCCTCCTCGTCCTCGTCCTCTTCCGCCTCTTCCTCCTCTTCCTCCTTTTCCTCCTCCGTCTCCTCCTCACTCGAATGGGATACTTGGTTGCCATCTGGCTCAAGGGCTGGCGCGACACGTATATCTCTGAGAAGGACTTTGCTATCACAGCAATTGTCGCAATGTCGAACTTCTCGTTTCGACCACCCCCCGCAGTTCTAGTTGGTGGCGGAGCTGGGAGCGATCCCAGCTGCGATGCACGGGAACTGCGCAGATGCGATGTGGACGCACAATCGCATTTCCTTAAATCTCCGAGTCTGTGCCGCCTTCCACTCCTTGAGCAGCTTGTGCTCATGGCTGTTCTGCAAGCCTGCGGGCCATTCGCCGCGGGTGCTCACGGGCAGGATGAGGCTAACGCCAGACCGTGGTAATCCCCGTGGGAGCCCGGTTGTGCGAGCAACAGACGGCCATGCGCATGGCATCGTCCCACGTGGGCGCCACGACGCCCAGGTCTTCTCACCACCAGCCGGTACTGGCAACGGAACGCATGCATTTGCGTTGGGCCGCGTGACTGGGTCAGTATTTGGATTCGATTGGTTTCGAGCTGTATGCAGTGGTGCTGGCTTTCTTGCTGGTGAGCACGCTGCGCACCCCGAGTTGCATGCAGTTTCTTACTTTGCCCGTTTCATCACCGTTAGCTACCGCCAAGGGCCTCAGCACCACAACGGTTGCCCCAACCTTCGAGCTGGCGTTAGTCCCTGTGCAGGTCCGAGTTCCAAGGCGCCTGCGCAGCGCTGTTCGTGGTGGAGTCTTGCAGAGGAGGATCTCCACCTTGGCGCTATGGGGCAGCATCGCCATCCCCTCCGTGGCTGCCTTGCTCTGGTTCAGTTGCATGGTGCCTGGAGGAAACGGACAGCAGGGTGGAGCAAGCGGAGGCAGAGGAGACAATCTTTTGTCAGCCACCTGCCTGGTCGCCTGAACGCGGGTCCGTCTACCCGTTCCGTCCGTGGGTGCAAGACGTATTCGCTTGGAGCGTACTTGCTCCTGAAACGCATCGCACTCAGCAGTGTGCCGCCGTCATCCTGAACCTTATGTGCCGCCGCTCGTGAATTATTTCGCTTTATGAACTTTGCGGAATTGCCCAGGGGTGTGTGGTCAACGGCCAGATGGACCTTTTGCAGACTTCGCCACCCACTTTGGTCCCGTCGGCGAGGGGTCACGTCTGCAGGCCACTAGTGAGCGCTTCGAGTTCTGGAGGCGGCGCAGCGATGCCACCGATGCGTTGCTCCCGCGGTCCTCACGCTGCGATTTTGAGCGACGCACGACGGTGGAGCTGCGATGTCGTGGGAAGTCTACAGATGGTAGCTCTTCCGAGTGGTCGGCGTCACCGCCAGCCAATACATCACGCAGCTCCAGCCCTACGGCAACCGATATCCAGCAACAGAGCCTGATTTCAACAGTCTCACGACCATGCTCAGGCGCGTTGGACACATCGTGGATCGCTTGCGCCTGGCGGCATCGCCAGCGCCCTTCGTTCACCTCCACCCTTGGGGGATCTCGTAGGCATGACCAACGACAGCAGCCATCAACACAGACAACAGCAAGGCGAGCACGCTGCAGACCCTTGGCATGCAAAAGGGCCTGAACCTTGGGCTGCGAGCGCTGCCGCCCTGCCAGGTGTCGGAGGTGCCCCTGTTCATATGCCAGCAACTTTCAGCCGGGCGCCTCGCAGCCGCAGGCCGCCTTTCTAGCCGCCGCGTGGCAGCCCGCTGATGGGGCGCTAGTTTGCCTCGAGCACCTCAGTGGCACTGGCTCAGACACCAGTTCAGACCTCGGAGAAGCTATCGATTATTCGTCGGAGCAGTTCAGAGGCTTATGCTCGAATCTACATCCAGCTCTTCTAGCAGAACGAAAACCGCAAGAAAGCACGGATACGCCACATGATTAAGCTCACCAGAAAAGTAATACAGTTCATCGAGAGAAAACGTACGTGCGTCCCAGGACGAGGGAAAATAATAAGGTAAAGGAGCCCAGCAGTTTGGATTCTTTGCCGAACTGGCTGACGACCAATTGGACAACATCTCCTACGGAGGCAATGGCAAGTGTAAGGGTGAGCGATCCAGCGGCAAGGGCAGCGGCAAGGGCACGCACGGGCCGCAGGAAGAAAGCGTGGGGCTACGACGGGCAGGTGATGAAATGCAGCGCCTGCGGGTCGGAGTTCCGCTCCAGAAGTGAATGCCAGCAGGCCGGCTCTTGAAGTTCTGGTGCCCAAGGAGGTGGCCCGAGCTCGCCTTCGTGCTCGCATAAGCGCCTCCCACGGAACATGCAGGACCTGGCCTTTCTGCTGCGCGGCCGAAGCCGGCAGGCTAGTGGCAGATGGCCGAGTCAGTCCACGGCGTTTGGTCGGCAGCATTAGTCGCGGCCGTCCAGAGCCACATTTGCGCCGACGTGCCCTCCGTGCCACCTGCACCTCAAGTCTTTCACTTCGCCCTTCATGTCTCAGGGACGCAGCTGCCGTCGCTGCCTCCATGGCATGCTCGCATGGCGCCCCTGCTCCAATGTCGACACGCCCCTCGCACGTTTCGTGGTCTACAGGGAGCTCTGCCTGAGGCCCCAGTGGGCGCGCTCGCGTGGAGTCCCCGCGCCTATCTCGGCACACGCCTCACGCTTCGTGGCCCACAGCAGGGAGCTCAACATATGGCTTTAGCCGGCGTGCTCGCATGGCGTCCCCGCGCCCATGTCCGCACACCCCTCTCACGTTTCGTGGTCCTCACGGAGTTCCGTTTGTGGCCTGAGCAGGCGTGCTCGCACGGCGTCCCCGCGCCTCTTTCGTTACACCCCTTACACGCTTCGTGCCCCGCAGGGAGCTCCACACAGGGCCCCAGTGTGCGTCCCCGCGCCCATTTCGGTACACCCCTTTAACGCTTCGTGCCCAGCAAGGAGCTCCACCCAGGGCCCGAGTGGGCATGCTCGCATGGCGTCCTCGCGCCCTTGTCGGCACACTCCTCACGCGTCCCGTGTCCCATACAAGGGGGCTCTATTCATGGCCCCAGTGGGCGTATTCGCACGGCGTCTTCTCTCCCATGTTGGCATATCCCTCACACGTTGCGTGCCAGGCAGGTAACTCCATCTATGGCCTCAGTGGGCGTGCTCGCATGGCATCCCCGAACCGTTGTTTTGGCATCTTCCCTGTTTATAGTTGCGCTTCGCTTAGACCTTCGCCAGGCTACATGTTAGTACGTGCCTTATCTCTTACAGCTTTGTGATGCCCTACTTTTGTTACCGCCTTCTACGAGCAGGCAGTTTGGTTGTTAGATGACGCCTTTCTCTGCTGTCGTTGCGCGGTTCTATGGGGTTGTATGCACCGGTTGTGCTCGGTGGTCTCGGGCTTTGGTATGGAATTACATTTTTGGTGCTACATGCCACGCTGTCTTACAGCATTTATCTGCTGGACCACCTGATGCCGCTGCTTGTCAAGCTTGCCTTTGGACGCCTGTTTTTCCGTGCGGCTCGCGGTGCGCCTCGTCTTACGTTCCCCATTCTATGGCGTTGGTTATTGGGCGGCGGCATCGTGTTCCTTGGGGGTTCATCTTGGTCTTCTTTGCGGTCCTCGTGCTGTTCGCCCGACCTGAGGTGAAAGACGTGTCGTGCGCCCCCCAAGCAACTCCCTGGCATTCCTTTCCCTTCCCGTCCCCCTCCTCTCACTTCTCCGCGCCTTCTTTGCCTTCCCCGCCTGTCGTCCCCTACCTCCCCTACGCTTCCTCCCCTCCCCTCCCTCCCCGTCCCGTCCCTCCCACCGCCTCCTCCCCCTCTCACCGCTCCCTGTCGCCGCTGCCTCCCTCGTTCCCTTTTCGCAGGTGCCCTTCCAGGAGGCGCTGCAGGGGCGGTGGGATACACCGCAGGTCCATCCTCGGCGAAGCCAGCTTCACCACCTCTGTGCCTTGTTGGGGGGGGGGGGGGGGGGCGGGGGAAGAGGTTATGGCAGTTCCAAGCCCCCGACGCCGTGTTTGTTTTCACAACGTGGGCCTCTGGAGGTCTTGGCGTCTTCCCCGGGACCAGCTTCTCGTCCCGAGCCGTTTCTGACGGCCAGGCGGCCGAAGGTGTAGCCTAGAAACCTCCCGCAGCGATTTTTATCCGACGCGAGGAGGTCTGGGGCCCCAAGGGATCTGGGCAGGGCAACACCGTCAGCGTCATCGGCGTCTGTGTCTGCGTCAGCGCGTCTGGCACCCCGTGCGCGCTCCGGGCCGAGGGCGGCTCCTCCTGGCTGCAGGGGGCCCGGCTGCTCGAGTGCAACGGGCAGACCGCCAGGTGGTCCAGCGGAGAGACCTGGCAGAGGCCCCTGGTGCCAGAGGATGGCGGCCAGGAGCCGGAGCCGGGCGTGGCTCCAGAGGTGAAGAAGGACCAGTGACCGGCGGCGTCACCACGGCCCGCTGTGCCTCCAAGCTCGCCGCCCGCTGGACTCACGGATCGAGCGTCGAAGCCGGCGTGGCCACCGCCCTGGCATGTGCGTGGCAGGGGAAAAGTTCCACTCCGCAGTGACACATTTGGTGCTGCTCCTTCTCCTGGTCGTGGAGGATGATCAGGATGGGGGTGGAGTTGTTGTTGGGTGAGGAGGAGGAGGAAGAGGAGGAGGAGGAGGAGGAAGAGGAGGAGGAGGAGGGGGAGGAGGAGGAGGGGGAGGAGGAGGGGGAGGAGGAGGACGAGGAAGGGGAAGGGTCGGATGTGGCCAGCTGGCTGCCGAGATGTTGCATCAAGCCCGCCCGTCTACCCAATCCTGCAGCTCTGCTCCTTTGTAGCCATTCGTGTCATTAAGCTCTTCCTTCATTCCAGAGGCTGTGACTGTAATTAGTGATGGGAATTGGCGATCACATCTCACCAGGCGCACCAACGAGTGGAATCCTATCGCGTTGGGCCATAACTCGGGTCGACGGGTCGGGTCATGCGAGCGGACCCTAACGGGTGGACCGTGCGGGCAGACGCTGGCGGACGGGGGGACCCTCCCGGGCGGGCTGGGCGGGTCGGGCCATATGGGATATCAAAAGGTGGGATCCATCGCGTAGGACATCCACGCGTGTGACCTTATTGATTGTGAGACACCCCATGCCAGCGCCGCTTCCCCTTTGCACGGTAAACGGGATCAGCGGATGGCCAGCGATGGATTTGTTCATGCAGTGCACGCTGCTTACAACCTGCAAGAGGAGCGTGGGTACTCCGCGCCGCGCGATCTCATCAGGATGGCGAGGAGCAGCGATAAGTCGAACATTGCGTATATACCTCCAAACCCTTCTGTGTCGGGTTCTCGCTTTGAAAAGGGCACTGCTCGCGCGTCTCCTCCTCCTCCTCCTCCTCGTCTTCCTCCTCCTCCTCCTCTTCCTCCTCCCCCTCTTCGATCCCGACCTCTTCCTGCATCCTGCTTTTATTCCCAACCCTCATGTGTTGGGCTCTCGTTTTTTGAATAAAGCACTATGGTCTCCGTCCTTCCTCCTTCCTCCTCCTCCTCCTGCTCCTTGCGGCTTCCTGGGGGGCTGCGAACTTTGCAACCGTCGCCAATGTCGTGGGCTCCTGGGAGGTCCATCCGAGCGGACCTACACGCAGATCCAGTCGGGACTTCGCGGCTCCTTTCTTGGGCTGCGAATTGCGCAACCGTCTCACTTTTCGTGGGCTCCTGGGAGGTCCATCGGAGTGGAGCCACACGCATATGCATCCGAGAGCTCGCGGCTCCCTTTTTGGGCTGCGAACTGTGCAACCGCCGCCACTTTCGTGGGCTCCTGGGAGGTCCAGCGGAGTGGAGTTACACGCAGATGCATCCGAGACTTCGCGGCTCCCTTTTTGGGCTGCGAACTGTGCAACCGTCGCCACTTTCGTGGGTTCCTGGGAGGTCCATCGGAGTGGAGTTACACGCAGATGCATTCGAGACCTCGCGGCTCCCTTTTTGGGCTGCGAACTGTGCAACCGTCGCCACTTTCGTGGGTTCCTGGGAGGTCCATCGGAGTGGAGTTACACGCAGACGCATTCGAGACCTCGCGGCTCCCTGCTAGGTGGCTGCGAACTGTGCAACCGTCGTCACTTTGGTGGGCTCCTGGGAGGTCCAGCGGAGTGGAGTTACACGCAGATGCATCCGAGACCTCGCAGCTCCCTGCTAGGTGGCTGCGATCTGCGCAACCGTCGCCGCTTTCGTGTTTTCCTGGGAGGTCCATCGGAGTAGAGTTACACGCAGATGCATTCGAGACCTCGCGGCTCCCTTTTTGGGCTGCGAGCTTCGCAACCGTCGCCACTTTCGTGGGCTCCTGGGAGGTCCATCGGAGTGGAGTTACACGCAGATGCATTCGAGACCTCGCGGCTCCCTTATTGGGCTGCGAACTTCGCAACCGTCGCCACTTTCGTGGGCCCCTGGGAGGTCCAGCGGAGTGGAGTTACACGCAGATGCATCCGAGAGCTCGCGGCTCCCTTGTTGGGCTGTGAACTTCGCAACCGTCGCCACTTTCGTGGGTTCCTGGGAGGTCCATCGGAGCGGTGTTACACGCAGATCCAGCCAGGACCTCGCGGCTCCCTTTTTGGACTGCGAGCTGCCTAGCTGTCGCCATTTTCGTAGGCTCCTGGGAGTCCCAGCGGAGTGGAGGTACTCCCCGATTCAGCGATGACCTCGCGGCTCCCTGGGGGGCTGCGAACTTCCTGACCGTCGCCATTTTCGTTGGCTCCTGGGGGGTCCAATGGAGTGGAGCTTAATGCAATCCAGCCGACACTTCTCGGCTCCCTTTTTGGGCTGTGATCTGCACAGCTGTCGCCACTTTCGTAGGCTTCTGGGATGTCCATCGGAGTGTGGAATTACACGCAGATCCAGCCAGGACCTCGCGGCTCTCTGGGAGGCTGCGAACTGTGCAACCGAGTGGACCTACACGCACATCCAGCCAGGACCTCGCGGCTCCTTTTTTTGGGCTGCGAAGTGCGCAACCGTCGTCACTTCGTGGGCTCCTGGGAGGTCCATCGGAGTGGAATTGCACAGACCTAGCCGATACCTCGCGGCCTCCTGGGGTCTGCGAACTGCCTAACCGTCGCCACTTTTGTGGGCTCCTGGGAGTCCCAGCGGAGTGTCGTCTTACGCAGATCAGAACTCTAGACTCTTCGCGTAACCCCACCAGCCCATACAGAAACAATGCCCAGAGGAGTTGCCTCGATCAGGGAAGTGGGCAGCACACAGAGGAAGGGCCCCCCAGTGGAGGTTTCTGGGAGCGTCTTGGGGGGCTCTTGGCGTCCCGGGAGCGTCTTGGGTGCCTCGGGGCCCCTCGGGGCCTCTTGGGGGTCTTTTGGGAGCCTCTTGGAGGCCTCTTGGGCGCCTCGTGGGGCCCTCTTCAAGCGCTCTTGGGAGCCTTGGGGGCGCTCTTGGGCCATCTTGAAGGAGATCGATCAAAACGATGGGAGCTCCAATTGCGGCCCCCCTCGGGAGCCTCAAAAGCCGCCTCTTGGGCCCCTTTTGAGGGTTCCTTGGAGCGCTCTTGGGCGCTCTTGGAGCCGTCTTGGGGCTCTCTTGGGCCTCTCTTGGGGCCCTCATGGGCCCTCTTGGAGCCATCTTGAGGCCTTGGAAGGCCATCGGAAGCAAAAAGGTGAGACGGCAACATTCATTGATTTTCAATCGGCTTTTGAAGGATTCTGGCCTCTTTGCGGCCTCCTGGGTAGGCTCCGTGGCCACTCGGAGCCGTCTTGGAGCGGTCTTGGGGCCTATTGGAGCATTTTGGGAGCCATCTGGAGTCATCTTGGAGCCGATGTAGCAGGCATCGCTTTTGGGCACTCCTGGGTGGAACCGCCATGGAGAGCTCAGGCGCCACAGGCTGACCTTTTCTCATCCAGACATTCACAGATGGGAGTGTCAGGAACTGAACTACTCCCGTATGGATCTCCGCGCCGATTTTGTCGAAAGTGCGCGCGCAGAAACACGCGCATATGTATTTGTATGTATGTATGTATGTATGTATGTATGCATGCATGCATGCATGCATGTAGGTAGGTAGGTAGGCTGGTAGGTAGGTAGGTATGTCTGTATGTATATGTATATGTATACGTGCATTTATGTATGTATGTATGCATGCATGCATGCATGTATGCTTGCATGCACGCATGCATGTATGTATGTAGGTATATTTGTATGTATGTATGTCTGTACGTGCATATATATATATGTATGTATATATGCATGTACGTATGAATGTATGTATGTATGTATGTATGTATGTATGTATGTATGTATGTATATATGTATGTATGTATGCATGTATGTATGTATGTATGCATGCATGCATGTATGTATGTATGTATGTATGTCTACATACATGCATCATGTATGTATGTATGTATATATGTGTACATGTATGTATGTATGTATGCATGTATGTATACATGCGTGCATGCATGCATGCATGCATGCATGTATGTGCATATGTATGTATGCATGTATGCATGTATGTATGTATGCATGTATGTATGTACGTATATGTGTACGCATGTTTGTATGCATGTATGGATATATGTATGTATGCATGTATATATATATATATATATGTATGTACGTAGGTATATATGTACGTACGCACGTACGTACGTATGTATGTATGTATGCATGCATGCATGCATGCATGCATGTATGTATGCATATATGCATGTATACCTGTGTACATGCATGCATGCATGTATGTATGTACGTATGTATGTATGCATGCATGTATGTATGCATGTTCGTGCAGGTATGGGTGTGTGTATGTATCTATGCATGCATGCATGCATGCATGTATGCATGTATGCATGTATGCATGTATGCATGTATGCATGTATGCATGTATATATGTATGTATGTATGTATGTATGTATGTATGTATGTATGTATGTATGTATGTATGTATGTATGTATGTATGTATGTATGTATGTATGTCCTCTTTTCAAAGTAGAAGCAATAGCCAGCTGACGAGTGTGCCGTATTTCGGTTTCTGGTTCAAGCTCTTTCCCCAATGCCCGTCTTGGGCGGGGCCAAGGCTCTTTTCGAGGGGGCCGCTAACTCCCTGATCACATCCTCTTCGGCGGCCGTCCTCTCCTGGGCCAGCCGGGTCCCGTGCCCTGATTGTCGGCCCGTGGTCAAGTGCGATTGCCCGAGCTGCCCCACCGTGAGCTGCGGCGACGTGATCAAACAGGAGGCGAGCGACGCATCCTGGCTGGGCTCGTTGCTGTGGTGCATCCTCTTCGTCAGCATCGGCTTCGTGATCGGACGGCTACCCCTTGCGTGGGCCTCCGCGGCCCAGAGCTCGCCTCACCCCGCTCAAGTGGTGACTACAGAGGCGATTGAGGTGGAGCCGCTCGCGGAGCAGGCTCGGCTGCAGCTGGAGGCTCTGGCGCTGAAGCGGCGGGTTGGCTCCCGTTCTACT